CCTTATGAACGCTCCTCGTAAGTGCTGGTACCGTATGCTGGCGTTTGATAATAGAAGCTTATGCTAGGAGGCAGCCAGTCTATCCGCAGTCTCATTGCCTGCAATTTCCACATAACTCAAAATCCAAAAAAAAACAAAAAAACTAATGCCTTTTTTATCCCTAAACCCGTGTTCAAATTTGGTACTTACAAGTTGGGTCAGCTTATTTTTGGTTGGTATAACTTAACATGCTGCAGTAATAACACTCTGCGAGTCTACAGAAAGAATAGCTTTCGCCATTTTACTCTGCATTATACCGGTTTATTTTCTTTCTAGTTGCACCAATTTTCAGTTTTTTTTTTTTTTTTAAATGAAAGAGGGTAAATTTTATGTATGCGATATTTACTGCATATTTATATGGCACGAACGACAATAAACCGGACAATTACCATCACTATTTTCTGATCCTTTAAGTAAAAATTTTTTTAAATGTTTTAAATTACTGTAATAGAAATACATGTTTATATTACAAATTTGGGGCGGTCGTATGCCATGATTGTTTTATTTCGTAAACTTCGCGTAACCAGCCCGTGTTCCGAGATATTTGCTTCCAAATTATATACCACATCTGACCTTTCTTTCACCCACACCGGCAAACCCGCGAAAGAGGGAACTATAGACATACTTTGCTTCAGTAGCCGGATAAAAGTGCAAATTATGTGGAAAAATATGTTGGAATTTGGCTGGTTACGTAAATTCTACAAAATGGAACGATCTTGGCATATGACCGCCCCAGCGTTTGTAGTACAAACTTCCAAACGTACAGTCATTAAAGAGTTCATTAACGAATTTCAGCTATTTAGTATGATAATCGTGGTTACTATATTCACATCTTATGTCCGCCGAGTCATATAAACACTTTGTAAAAGCCCCTTTATATAGTTATATGGTGCAGTAAAAAAAAACACCCCGCTTATATAAGTGTTGACAGTACGCTGCATAGCTCGGAAGTAAAACTGCTGCCGACACCATTTAAGTCAGTCACATGGATGAAAACACTTGAATAAACAGCAGTCTACATACTCTAAAGTCATGGCTTGGTCAGTGTAAAGTTGGCAATAGCCCTCGTACGTTTCTTGCACTGAAAAACATTCCTTTTGTAGAATGAGTGGGGATACATTATGTTTCTTAAATTGAAAACTTTTCAGGAGATGTGCATCTGACGAGTCAGTTTAGTGCAGATGCAGTGGTTCTCAAACGAAGACTCAAGGCCAAAATATAGTTGGCTTATGGTCAAATGTACGACAAAACGTAGATTATCGAATACATCTGTGGGCTCGATGACTGGGATCTGATAAAGCATTTTAAGCATACACTGTCTAAGAAGCACAATACATCGGTGTAGGGACGGGGTGGTCCAAGCCTGCCGCTGTGATATCTTCGGTCCAGGACCGCCAACGCCCCACAGGGCGAAAATGGATCGTCCCAACTGCCAGAACCCGGCCAGTACCGCTAAATCTCCGTGATATCGGCATCGGGATGCCAATACCATGTCCTGGCGTGAGCAAGCTGGCGTCCCGTCAAGTTTCCGGGGACTCCGGAAAGTTTCCAAGGACGCAGATGAGTTACCCGGAGCCGGCGGATTCTCGCATTCGAGACCGGCCATTTTCGCCCCTCGGGGAGTTGACCTCCTATGCAGAGACTGGTTTCACGGGAAGTTCCTGGCGCAGACCGGATTCTGACCTGTGCTACGAGAACGGATACATAGTTCCTAAAACAGATGTGATACCTCTATTCGTCACCCTATAGGATAAAGAAGGCGACATAAAAAGTGAAAGCCGTTTACAACTCCCTGTAACGCCGAATTAGAGCGCAGCTCTTGAGGAGGAGGAGGGAAGGGTACTTGGGGGGTTCAACTGAACGGAGGGGGGTCACGTGACCTTGGGGACATGACGATGACAATGCCGATGATGTTATTAGTGACGTCACTGATGACATCATCTGTGACGATGACGATGCGGATAACGATGACGTTATTAGTGACGTCACTGATGACGTCACCAGTGATGATGACGATGACAATGCGGATTTCAGTGACGTCATCTGTGACGTCATCTGTGATGATGACGATGAGGATGCGGATGCCGGTGACGACATCAGTGACGTCACTGATGACGTCATCAGTGATGATGACGATGACGATGCGCGTGCCAATGACGTCATCAGTGATGATGACGATGACGATGCGGATGCCGGTGACGTCATCTGTGACGATGACGTCATCGGGGAGGTCACGTGACCTCGGCGGGGGGGTCACGCTATCTTGGGGGGTTCACGTGACCTCGGGGGTCACGTGACCTCAGGGGAGTCACGTGACTTCGGGGGGTCACGTGACCTCGGGGGGGAGTCACGTGACCTCCGGGGGGTCACGTCACCTTGGGGTGACATTGGGTTGACCTTGGTTACGCCGACGGCGACGGCGACGCCGCTCAAGCCGGAAACGGGCGCCTACAAAAGGGGGCGTGGAACCGGCATGGCTACGGCGGTGCCCTTCACGTTGATTTTACTGCTTTCGCAGGTCAGCGGTTTCTCTGGCCAACGGCAGTGCTTCGACGGATGTGAAACTTGCAGTCTCTTTGCGCCTCGGATTATCAACGGTATCAACGAAATCAAGACCAGCGAGGGAACCGACCTTCCCCGTGACGATGCGGACTGGATGATATGCAATGCGTCTGATTTCGGCGAGTGTATCGTCCCGGTCTACGAACAGTGGGAAAGTTATCTTCCCATAAACCAGCTACAAAAGGCGTTGGTCTGCAGTACTCCAGTGGGGCGTGGAACCGGCATGGCTACGGCGGTGCCCTTCACGTTGATTTTACTACTTTCTCAGGTTAGTGATGCAGAACTCTCTCCTCTTTTCTCAGTTTATGTTTTGCCGGTTCCACCCCAAACACTGTTTGCCCAGGCAGCACAAGATATTGTGCCGACATTGGTCTCAGCATGGTTAAGGTGGCCCCATATGGGCCCAGCTTGACCAGTCTAGAGCCAGCATTCATGATGCCGGCACTAAACTGGCTACATGACGGCTACATTGGCCGTTTCTGCCAGCGTCCAACCAATATTGCGGCATCCCGGCTACATGACGGCAACATTGGCCGTTTCTGCCAGGTTACAAAAGATATCGCTGCATCCCGGCTACATGACGGCAACATTGGCCGTTTCTGCCAGCTTCCAAAAGATATTGCTGCATCCCGGCTACATGACGGCCACATGACGGCAACATTTGCCGTTTCTGCCAGCTTCCAAAATATATTGCTGAAAATATATGAAGTTCTATATCGGGCTCTGTTTTGCAACCACCGACTGACGGCACTGCACCAGCCAAGTCGCGGCAACATCGCCGGGATTCTTCCATATGTACTAGGAATATTTAGACACATAAGCATTTTTGCCTATAAAACCTTAACCACCAGACTTTACAACCTGAATTGATTGATGTTTCTTTCATCTTCGAGTGCTGCTCTTAGGCGTCCGTTTCTGGCTTGAGCGGCGTTGCCGTCGGCGTAGCAGTAAAGCGTCGGCGTAACACATTTTCGTGACGCGCCACAAAAAGGCGTTAAACCGACGTGTTACGCAACGCGTCACGAAAAAGTGTTACGCGACGCCGACGCGTTACGCGACGCGTCACGAAAAAGTGTTACGCGACGCCGACGCGTCACTAAAAAGCGTTACGCGACGCCGACGCGTCACTAAAAAGCGTTACGCATACGCGTTACGCGACGCCGAGGCGTCACGAAAAAGCGTTACGCTTACGCGTTACGCGACGCCGAGGCATCACGAAAAAGCGTTACGCTGACGCCGAGGCGTCGTGGAACGCATCGTCATAACGTTTTTTTGGGACGCCTCGGCCTCGGCGTCGCGTAACGCTTTTTCGTAACACCTTGGCGTCGCGTAAGGCGTCCGCATAACGCTTTTTCGTGACGCGTCGGCGTGATGCTTCTTCGTGACGCCTCGGCGTCGCGTAACACTTTTTCGTGACGCGTCGGCGTAACGCTTGTTTGTGACACTTCGGCATCGTGTAACGCGTCGGCATAACGCTTTTTCATGATGCGTCGGCGTAGCGCTTTTTCGTGACACGTCAGCGTCGCGTAACGCTTTTTCGTCACGCCTTTGCGTCGCGTAACGAAAAAGCGTTACGCCGACTGTGACCGTAACGGTAGCCGTAACGCGTCGGCGTGACGCGTCGCCGTCGGCGTAACCGCGCGGTGCATTATGGGAAACGTGCCATGATGCACCGCGGTGCCGCGCGTGTTGCATTATGGGACGTCTCCCACAATGCACCAAGCGAGAGGGAGGAGGAGGAGAAGGGGGAGGAGGGAGGAGGAGGAGGGACAAGGATGAAAAAGAGGCAGGAGGAAGAGGGCTCCCCCCTGACAGCTCCCCCCGCCTCCCCTCTACCTACGTCACTGGTGTATGAAAATCTCAAAATAACCCGCTGTTACTGAGCCCCGCAACTCGACCAAAGCTTCAGACAAAAAAAAAAAAAATGGAAATACAAATAATTTTTAAGCAAAGCATAAAAACTCAAAACAAACACCCACTAATTAATTAAGATATTGCATATCCTCACATATAAAAAAAAAGTCAAGTTAAATTAAGATGTCGAACACCCTGTTCCTTTTTTTTTTTCTTTTTTGCACATAAGTTGACGTAGATTTCAGTCAGCAAACAAAGGTTATCATGGAACGTATAGCAGGAGAGGAAGCTGGGACATTATGTCTGCTCGCCCAAAAAATTGACTTCAAACTGCGTAGAGAACAAGATAACTCCAGTAATGGCTGGCCACGCTAGCGACACCGGCCACCGAAATATAAACTGCGACTGCAGTAGAGTTGGGTCGAAACCGAAACTATATGCCGCAGTCATATACTTGTCCGATCCAGAGCCACAGCCAATTCAAAGTCTAATCCAAAGCCACAAGCAGCTTCTGGAGTCTGGATTCTTTTCCGTCCCGTCCGTGCAGACAAGGGCCTGTTTGAACCTTCAACGTGCGTGGGTCAAATGATTGTTTAGGTAAGTTTTCTCGATTTCATATTCATGATGCATGCCCGAAAAGTATCATCTACATGTGCTGGATGATCTTCCGAGCACCGTAGTTTACGTTGCCACCGTAATTCGGATGATATTTAACTTTTTCGACGCTTGAGCGGTCTCCGCGATTTCGTGTTGCGTCGCAGTTCTGAGGGATGCTGGCTGCCTTCGGGAAACGATCGCTATCGCTTGTGGAGGCTGTTCGTTCAAGCCTTGCGTAAATGCAAGCCGCTATCTCGAGAATCCCGTGAATGTTCTGCGATACCGGAGCACTGCAGAGACGCTGATCAGATTGTTTCGAAAGTTCGCGTTGCTATCGGCGAGCCCTTCGGACACGCTGTAAGTGCCAGGCGCGCTAAAACTGAGCTGTGCTGTCAAACGCTTGGACACGGATCTTAGAACGAACGCCTTGAATGTGTTCGGGACGGCGACACGCGTGAAGAATTGGATGGTTTTTACTTTGACGTCTCGTCTCGTCCCTTCTCACGCTTGCGACAGCGTATCTTGGTCAGCGCGCGCTGGCTTTTTGAGCTGCGTCCAGCGGGATGGCGCGGTTGGGGTGCTGGCGTTTAGCGGGTTTCAGCGGGTTGTTAGAACACGCTCCAAGCTGGGCGTCGTCGTAGCGCTCGCGTACGGCGTGTTCCCCGCGCCGGCCTGCTCTGCGTGTCGTCGGTGTTCAGGCGCGCGGGCCTAGTGTTGCTTAAAAGTGTTGACAGGACCCTGTTAAGCTCGTCACTTCCGTTGTTTTCTCCCTTACGGGCCCTGCATATATGTCTAGCCTTGCGAGCCACCCAGAGTACTACTACTGTAGCTAATGAAGATTATTATTGTTTGGCTTAATGGCGTCTTAGTTTACCCTGGTCGCATTCGTGACTTCTAGAACCCGGGGGTGCACACATACTTTACATGGCTGAGGAAAGAGGTTATATGTAAGCAGTGATAGAGTGTAGGCGAGCTGGTAATTAATCGACATCTTGTAAACCCTGAGATGTTCGTTCGTTTTTTTAGTGTTTCCCATATCAGGGTTTACAAGATATAGGTTATACGATTTGATTAAAATGCTCAAGAAAGTTGCAGTGTAAAAATCGCACGCCTGGCAGGTGCTCTCGCTTGTATAGTGGACAGCTCGCAATGAAAACTCACACGTCTGTCCCTTTTCGCACTCCGAAAACGGAAGCTTTGCCATGGTCAGCACATTAACATTCTGTGGTGCTTAGCTGGTGGGGCAGTAATGTAGGAGGGGGAAGGGGTGCGGCAAGCAAACAATTTTCAAGATGCAATTGCTTTCCCCCCCCCCCCCCCCCCCACGCACACACACACAGATGTTCAAAACTTCCGCTGCTGCCGCACCCAAAACAGCCATGACATCTATCGTCTACTTACAAACGTGCACATCATTCTATTAAAAAAAAAGAAAAATCTACAGTAACAAATGGCTGGGGACCAGTGGCATACCAACTTGTTTTTGAGTGAGGGGAAAAACGACACCCCCCCCCCCCCCCCCCCCCGAGCCGGGGATGTGGGATACCGAAGCTCGCCGAAGTGGTATCCCTTCGGCGAGCGGCGCCGAAGGGATACCACTTCGGCGCCGCCGGCCAGTGTTTGCCCTGCCCAGTGGCGACTGTTTAAGGGGGGGGGGGGGGGGGCTGCAAAACACATTCCTTGCCCCCCCGGTTGGTACGCCCATGCCAGGGACCTTTCAAGCATTCCCTCATCTATTAGTGTTGAAAATCTTCAGAAGACGTGTATAGTCTTGTGCTGAGGTCATGGGGGCAGTGGCATAGGAAAGGGGGGTTCTTTTTTTTAATAATATTGTTTACTGGAAATGACTGATTTTCCTGCGGCCCCTCCCCCCCCCCCCCCCTTTTCCTATGCCACTGCCCCCATCACCTAAGCACAAGACAATACACGTCAGAAATTGCACGCTGCTCTAGTTTCTGTTTTTTTTTTTTTCTTTCGTCAATAAAAATATTTAACCCTACCAAAAAAATTATCGCCAGAACTTTTTTTCTTTTCTTTCCTTTTTTGTTTGGGGGGGGGGGTGGGGGTGGGGTGACGTGTTTGGGATTCTCTAAGTTTTGGAGTGGGTACAAGATACCCACCCCTTTCCCCTAACCCCTCCCTCCCCCTGCGACAAACACATACACATACATGGATTGCCTGTGTCCGATCCCCGTGGCGTGAGTACCGTTTAATCTGAAGTGCACCACCCAATGCTAATTAATTTTGTTTTAATAGAAGCAAAAACATTTGCTTGAAATTATTATAATTCTGAAACCAGAACCACCAATATTTTTATAGACTCGTCGAGGCTCAAAGCCAGTGTCATTCACAACACAAAGCTGAGAACTTCTAAACCACTCTGTTCATAGCGGGACAAAATCGCACCACACGCGAAGTGCAGATAAATAAAATCCAACACACTCAACGGCTTCGTGCCAACGCCTTCGTACCTTAATCTCCTAGTACCCCCGTACAGTGTCCGCGCCTCCGCACGCAATCCGCACTCCCACTAGAATCTACTCACACACTTTGAGTGCGGATAAGAATCCAACAAAATCCGCACTGGGAGTGCGGATAAGAATCCAAAATTATTCACACTCGGAGTGCGGATTAGAATCCACCACTATCCACACTCGGTGTGCGAATAGGGACAGCCACAAGCCAACTCCCACACCTGCCAGGCGCTCTCGCTTGTACAGTGGAGACACATTCAAATCAAGGAGATCCAGCTTTGAATGTGAAGGCTTCCTACTTCAACTTTTAAATACTTGAGGTTCTGTTAAAATTGACGGGAGTCTCTTAAAGCATTTTTGGAACCATGTCCAAAACCCAGTGCTGGGTACAATTTTAGTCTAAAAGGCTGGTCCACACTGTTGCTACCCGCTACGACTGAGTCTCACAAAACCAGTCTTCAAGCCACTTGTGACAGCTTATGATCGTGCTGCGCAGCAGCAATGCTATTCGTAAGCAACTTAAAACCCTGTTTTGTTCAACTTGGGTCATAGTCGGCTGCAACAGTGTGAACCAGCTTTAACACCTTAGGTGAATGTAATCAACAGTAACTTCAGGATAAACTTGCGCATTGTACTACCCCAAAGTATTTTGACAACATCTCCGGTGTTGATTCTTGATTTCTATCTCAGCAATACAGATCACGTCAAAAGGCTTGTTGATTGCTGTGCATGTGCCTATCAAGCGAGCTGTGCTATTTCTAGGTGGTGTTTAATTTGTTTTGAAGTTCCCTGGATCTTTTAAGGGACCGGTAGGTATCTAAGCTCCATATGCACACTGTTCTTAATACAATTACTTCATGCAGAAGTTAATCTTTCTTATTTGGTTGAGTTTAATGGTGGTGTCGTCATGGTCTTTGCACTGTCGACGACAAGAGAAGCGTCATGTTGCACTTGTTCTTTTGTTGATCCGTGAAGCGAGTTCCGGTTTCTTTTTTGTTCCAGAATGTCAGTCTGAGTCTTATTCATGATGTTGCAGGAAGTCTGTATGATGACGAAAAAACTGCAGGTGACTAGAAGCTGCCGATGAGCTGCCAGTCCGGATGGCAGCTATCAACACGGCAAGGGCCTGCAGGCGCATCAGCCCTCCCCCCGTTCCTCTACTGCCATTGGAGACAGGATGCTTTGTAAAAGGTGAAACAGGGCCCTTGCACTGCTTCCACAGCGCCCTGCTGGATTTATCTCACATTTTGATTTTCAAAACAAACAACATTACAAACGCCCACTCTAAATTGGAGATAATCATAGAGAGCTGGGGGTTGAGCCCTTGGTAGGTACGATAGTTGGTAAGTGTTCATGGTCCCTTGCTTGGTCTGTGCATGGAATTACGAATAGCTGCATTTGCGGAGCTAGTTAATTATGCAAACACAAAAAAACAAAGCGTGACCTTTTTTTTTTTTTTTTTTACAAAGAAGCATTCTGAAAAGTGTTGGATTAGCATTGGCTGTTACTAAAGCCTTCAATTTGCTCTTCCGAGTTAGAACAAAAGAGCAACCCATCTTTTCTTGTACACCACTTTCTGTGGCAATAAAAAGAAAGCTAGGGGGGGGGGGGGCAGGCAGGTGCAAATGGCTCCGTGTTAGCGCACCACGTAGTTCTGAACTTCTTTTGGTCTCGGTTTGAGTTTGGGTTTTGGCATGTCAACCATGCAGTTGCTAGAGTGCATCTTTTTTGTACGAGGATTGCAGTTGAGGGAGTTGAATTGGGATTGCCGAGCATGGCAGGCACATTCACATCTCTTTACTTTCGGGTTACCCTGCACTGCCCGAAGGCATTATTGCAGGGGGGGTGAGGGGAGGGGAGGTATGTAGTCAGTCGTGAAGGTAGAAATACGCCCGTGCATATGTACAAAAAAAAAAAAAAAGAAATGCAGGCACACAGGTAAATACATTCAAAAACAAAAGTGAGCCCAGAATAAGTTGAAAGCCACATCGGTTGCTCACATTCTATAGTCGGTGACAGGTCAATAAGGAAGTGGAAGCTGCTCCCACCTTTTTCCACTATAGCAGACTGAACCCTGGAGAGGAGGCGCCCTCCTTTCCAGCGTTTGCTCTGCTAAAGGGGAAAGAGGTGGGAGGAGCTTTTACTTCATTCTTGACCTGTCACCGACTATAGGTACCTGCCAACGTTCCATATTTTTGGACGTAAGCCAACACTTTGACCTGTAGGATGAATTGGGCTGTTGTATATTGGGTGTATCAAGGAGGGGCCAGGCTCTTTAAATCGACTGCAAAATTCGTTTTCTTAACCTATCGCACTACGACTTTGTGCAGCGTTGCTCAGGGATGGTGCATTTTTTTTTGTAAAATTTGCAAAGAGCGAACTTACCTGAGAAAAAAGTAAAGAAAGAAAAAGGCTTAGCTCCTATGAAAATGCGAAGAAGCCAAAGGTCTTCAAACAATATGGCGCCATTTCACTAGAGAGACAAAAGATGGCGCAAGGGGTCACGACGCCAACTGCGCCAACGTACGAGCATACGGCGCCGAAAGCTGGTGTCTTTAGCAGACAATCTTTTCGACTCAAAAGTGGCACAAGCTTTTCTGATATCAGTTGCCAATGCATTATTTTATTATCCTTACTGATAAAACATATTGAATGGTCACATAATCGATTAGAAAAGTGGTTTGTTGGGATATTTTGGCTGTTTTTTTCGGAGTACCGATGTCATCTGCTTTGCAGTTCCTTGTTGTTACCGCGCCTGTTTTTGTTTCTGCGACTGTCGCCGCCTGCGGAATGCACTCTACTTTTGAGTTGAAAAGATTGTCTGCTAAAGAGGCCAGCTTTCGGTGCCGTAAGCTCGTTCGTTGGCGCAGTTGGCATTGTGGCCGCTTGCGCCATCTCTTGTCTCCGGTGCGAAATGGTGCCGTATTGTTCGAAAACCTTTGCCTTCGCCGCATTTCCATAGGAGCTAAGCCTTTTTCTCTCTTTACTTTTTCCTCAGGTAAGTTTGCTCTTTGCAAATTTTACAAAAAGTGCACCATCTGTGGGCAGCGCTGCAGAAGTCATAGCGCGATAGGTTAAGAAACCGAATTTTCCGGTCAATTTAAAGAGCCTGGCCACTCCTTGATACACCCAGTAGTTACCAGATATGTGTGCAGGTCACTCATGCAGTTGTTAATGACCATTGGTACCCAACTCAACCTCGTGCAGGGTGTCTATGGACTGGAAAAATGGTAATGTTGAGGAAGTTAACGATTGCAAAAGCCTGAAGATTTCCACCCTAATCACCATCGATCAGGGATATTCAGCCTTTCTTTGTCTGAATGTCAGCAAAAGATACGTGTGGTGTGACACATAAACCTTCCTACTCAGGAACTCAGCCAGCTTGTCAATGTAAATCTCTGCTTCGAAACTATAGAGTCTTGGGAGAATCCAGAGATACAATTTAATCTCGAAATGTATGAAAAACACAAACTTCTGTACTCTAAATGAAGTGCTGCTGCTTATGGCAGTGCTGCTTATGGCAGTGCTGCTTATGGCAGATTTGTGGAATGGTTTCATAGTGCGACAGGTTGTCTCTAGAGCTACCCATTTGCTCCCGAATGGACTTTCCATGGGACTTTTTTACAGGCTGTGAACATCATGGCTATTGAGGTAGTTTCTGCTGCGGGGAAGAGAATATCCCTCAGCTTGACAGTCCACAGAAGCTTTAGCAGCCAGGATTTTGGATGTTGCGAGAGCAATGACGTTTGCCTTTAGCTCATATTTTTTGCCACAAGTTGTCAACCAACCGCCAGGGTTGTCTCATCCGACAGCAGGACATGCCGGCTACTGTGGCATCATTTAATGCTGTCGCTTAGAGACCACCTTTAATGAGTGGGTGGTATAGAATGCTAGAATGCAGAGGTGCATTCCAGACACCATGCTGTAGCATCTGCTGCTGGGATGTTCTGATTGTTTCTCATTGCAGTCATTACAATTTTCAGATTGTTTCTTTTCTTCAGTGGGAGCTCATGAAGGTGGCACTGTGCACAGAGGGACAGAGTGGCTGACAGTGAGCTGCCCAAGACAACCTACTGGCTCTCGTGACCATCTCCGAAAGCCTTTGGATGGGCTAATTGACAGGCATGCCTGGACATTTATAAACGGTAAACACAATCTAGACTACCTTTGAATTACGCCTTGGTCTAACTGCTGTTGCCAGGATACCATGTTTGGATGCTAGAATTGAACTGGATATGCTAAGCGGCACATGTGGCCAAGTAGGGACACGCTGGGACGCTTGTCCACAAACTGCGCTTCCCAGTCCATGAGCCACCAAAGACCCAGCCAAAGAGATCCCAAGTCAAGTCAAAGTTTTCTGTTAATCTTGCTAGTAGCAGCGTCGTAGTCGTTAATTAAAATGTCGGCGTTGCCCCGCTCATTGCGGCACACCGAGCAAAGCAGAGCGAAAGAACGGAGATAAAGACTACCAAAAGTGACGTCATTAGCAGGGTCCGACAACCCTTGCTTGCCAATAGGCTGACTTGGGGATGCCAACGATGATGTCACAAAGCTTTGGACAGGTTACATGTGGAAGAAAGGCTCAGTGCATGCTCTGCTATAATTGCTGCACATATTCAAAATAAATGCAGTTTACAATGTCTTTTGCCCAAGTTTAGTGCGATTACTGAATTAACGAGCCAAAATGCTATGTAAGTCTGCTCCTAACTCAGATTTCTTACAAAGTGCTTCAAGCTCCCTTTAATGCTAGTTTGACTTATTTGCACAAGCCTGTGCCTGTGCACAAACTAGAGCCTATACATTGCTGTACTATTTTACATTTAATGCACTGCCAAAGGAAAAGGTTCAGATACAATTAAGTCCAAGCAGCTAAACCGTTAATTTGAATGTGACATACAGTAGACTCTCATTATTTCAAACTCAAGGAAGCCACGAATTTTGCATGAATTATCAAAAGCTCAAATTATCAGAAGTTCATCTAAATATGTTACAAGATAAATTATGATTTTCTATATGGATGGCTACACATACAAAACAGATATTTCATGATTTCCTCTGCACAGGCCCATTAATCATAAGCTGGTATGCCATTCATGAAACATTGGTAAAATTTATGACACAAGTTTATTCAACCCTCAAAAATGTTGTTTATCAGGGACTGTTTAGACAGCACATGACACCTTAAAACAAAATTAAGTTTGTTCGACCAGAAAAAAGTTGTCTATTAGGGACTGTTAAGCAGGGACCCATGAGTAATGGAAACGGGCATTGTGCTGCAGTTTCTGTAGCAACTTGCGTGAACACTGCGATATAAAGCCATGCCGCCACATCACAGCATCCTTGCAAATTGATATGGAAACTGCCGCGCGGCGCCCGTTTTTGCCGCTCATGTGTCCTCTGCTTCAGAGACGTATATAGAGATAGTTTAACCATTCATTTGGATGTATAGAAGGCAAATGAGGAGGCGCCTTTCGCTTAAGGTGGGCTGGGCATGTTCCAGAGCATTTTCACAAATTCGTATGTTGCCAACCAGCAGCCGCGCATAATATCCTGGCAGTGGTTGTGAGAAACAAAATTAATGAGCTCGTCGGAGTAACTCTCGGTGACTGGGGTGCAGTGATGTTTTGATCGTGGTCATGCAAAATCACGGTGGAAGATATAGAAAATATCAAAAACGTGCGCAACCTGCTGAACGATTGACGTATTCCGTACACCAGGCGTCGAAGCGATCAGACTCCATTTGAGCAAAACAGAAATCAAGCGGAACATTAGTTTCCTACATCTACTTGCATAACCATAATCGAAACAGTGCATGCACCATACTTTCAACCATGGAGAGTTACTACATTTAACTCCAATGCACTTATCAAAACCGTTTCTCGCTACCATAGCTAGGGGATTATTTTCAACTTCTGGTTGGCCAAGAGAGATTGTCGAACCCTCTATCTGCGTTTGATGCAGGCCTTGGCTCTGCTTGCTCCTTTCATGTACCAAGATCTATATGTACGGCTCTGCTCTGCTTTAGCCCTGTAGAGTGTGCTTTTTACTGAGCACCAGTGCACCGCAGGAAAACAAAGCCTGTGAAAGCAAGCTTCACAGGTGCTGCTTCTTCGCAGTGCACCGGTGCTCGGAAAGAAGTGAGCTCAACGGGGCCGCGAGAACAAAAAGTATGAATTACACGAAAACGTCGTTCAAATTAAGCGGCTGATGAATACATTGAAAACGTAGCGGGACAGCCCAAGTTTTGAAATTTGTTTGACTTAACCAGACGTATTAAATCTCAGAGTTTGAATTATCGTGAGCCTACTGTATACTCTAAAGGAGATATGGCTCACTTGATTGTGCTTAATATCACTGAATGGTTATGCAAATTTTAATTTGCTAGTTTTATTTCTCAAGCACTTGTTGTGTTGGGGTTTTGTTTTATATATCATGTGCAGTAGAAAGGTGGGGAGCTGGGCTAGGTAGTAAACACGTTGCTTGCTGATGTTAACCATGTATGTCATATACAGCTTGTTGTGATTGTGTATTGATTTCGAATCCTCTTCTGCTCTTTATTTCAGGCTGCTCTTATATGCACCATGAAGATATCGAAGAGGTCTCCAATTGAAGGACAACTATAAGCACAAGCAAGGAGGGGCATCTAGATGGCGAGTGCAAGGACAACTGTAATGTAAAATTTCTCCCAACTTAAAGCAAGGCATGCCTTCTTCCAATATAGGCATTGTGGCAAAAGTTCTTAATTGGTTCGTTTGTTCAGCTGTCATCTCTACGAACAGCTGATCTCACACAAACAAAATCCTGGCAATGAGTTGTAGAGGTTGTGTGCTCTTTTTCTTGTTGAACTCTTGTTGTTTTGTGTAAGGATAAAAAAATTATACAGGTTAGTATATTGAATGACAGAGCCTATAAACTCTCCATACCAATCCATACCTCAAAAGTTTCATGTGACTTCGGCTTGCTTGAACATGGAAGCTGTTTGCACTAAATAACGGAGCACTAGACCTTTCCGTCTTCTTGAAGCCCATAGCTATGAGCCATCCGCACCAATCCTGCACCTCCGATACGTCAGGTGACACCCCTGGCAAAGGTATAGCCCTTCCAGGGGAGTCGCCTGATGTATCGGAGGTGCGGGTGGTACGGATGGCTCGTTACTTTGGCCTTATCTAAGGCCAAAAGGTATAGTGCTTCATTATTTAGTGCCGACAGCTTTCATAATTCCTACGGATAGCCCTCCGTAGTGAGCTACAGACATTCCGTCATTTTACGAAATTATGTGCCTTATTTTTACAGACTCCAGTTTCTAGATTACGGGAAATCTTGCCGGTACTATGGAACCCGGAACTTTTACCCATAAAATTGAGTGAAAGTTTTTTGCAGTGCTCCCATACCCCTTGTCCAAGTCGAAGATGGTCAGACATCTCCGATTCCCTCTAAAATGAAGCATCCGTTTTCATTGAAAATAAAGACTTTCACATTTGATGTCGTGGTACGTCATTCGCATTCTTACGTATTTCAAGAAGACATTTAAATCCCAAAATGGTTCAACGATAACGGCCACAAAACATTTTGAAAGACGGCTGTAAAACGGTTTCGAAAGAGGGTCGAAAAACGGTTGACGACATCGGTCACAAAATGGTTGGCGATATCGGTCTCAAAACTTTCCCCGTTATCGGTTCAAGTTATTGGACCGATCTGGAGCCGGGGTGCAAATCATTATTGGACCGTTATTTCCTAAACCTTTGACCGATATTTGTCCGTTATTGGTCCAATATTTTTGTGCTGCCTGGGTGCTTGCTTATCAAGATATTCGGAGCCTGAACGTCGGTCGCGACGTTGCTTTCGTCTGCTACGGCGTTTCGCTTTCTATTTTCTGTTACTCCTCTTGTGTGGGGACATAGAGCTTAACCCGGGTCCCACTACGGCGGAACAATTGCAGCAGCTCTTGGATCGCCAAGCGACCATACAAGTGAAGCTTGCCTCTATCGAGACCACACAGGTTGAGAATAAGGTTGCCATTGATGATCTGGTCAACCGGATGACGTCATTAGAATCCAAGCTAAATAGACTTGACCAACTGCATACTGCTATTAAAGAGTGCAAAACTGAATGCGAGAACCAAAGGCGTGAGTTTGGGGCATTGATGGCAAGGGTAGATGATCTCGAGAACCGAAGCCGACGCTGCAACTTAATCTTCTATGGTGTCCCTGACGCAGAAGCTCGCGAATCAGATGCCGTCTCAGAGAAACGAATTTCAGAGATCTGTGAATCAAGGTTGGGCCTACCGGCTGTGGTAATGGAACGGGCTCACAGGTTGGGCAAAAACCGTCCACTGATAGCCAAGTTCACCTCGTTCAAAGAAAAAGAGTTAATTTTGAGAAATGCACGGAAATTGAAGGGAACTCCATTTAGTATTTCTGAGGATTTCTCCCAGGTGGTGCGAACGACAAGGAAACGATTATGGGACTTTGCCAAGTCACGAAGAAAGGATGGCGACAAAGTGAACCTTAGATATGACACGTTGCTACTGAATGGCACAAAGTATGTCTATGATGACGAGACAAATCAAGTCGTACCGCACAGATGACTGCGTCAGCCTAATGGAGTAAATCTTTCTTTTCTTGTAATAAATTGTCGCAGTATTAAGAATAAAATTCATGAATTTTCTGCACTTGTAGATTTGGTAAAACCCTCTGTGATTCTTGGTACAGAATCCTGGTTAGAGGCAGACATCGGTGATAATGAAGTCTTTCCTGATGGTTACACATGCTATAGAAAAGATAGAAATGCTCATGGTGGTGGTGTGTTTATTTTGGTAGAGAATAGCATTTATTCTAGTGAAGTTTATGTTGGTACTGGAGCCTGTGAGGCCATTTTTTGCCAATTAATATTTTCCAATAACAAGATACTTACAGCATGCAGCTTTTATCGACCACCTGATTCTCCGGTCGACGCGATGACCCAGTTAATAGCAATGACAGAAGCAGTGCGAACGGATTGTGTCGTTATCGGAGGGGACTTTAATCTGCCAAATATGGTCTGGAGCGAGCAGGGTAGAGCTATCGCAACTGCAGGGCGATTGAATCAAGAAATGGCGAATTTGACAAATCTTTTTGCACTCCGACAAATGGTGATAGAACCAACACGTGGAAATAATATTTTAGATTTATTACTAACCAATCAGCCTCACCTCGTCCGTTCTACCCTGGTT